AAATATAATTTCGTTTTTATTTTTATATGAGGTAATATAGTATACTAATAAGTTTAATTATTCAAAACCGGAATAAAAGCAAAAAAAATGCAATGTATGTAAAAAACATACACGAACAATAAATTTTTAATTGGCATTCTAATGTTACGCTGGTTATTAAGTTCAGTGAAAACTTATATAAAATGAGAATATATTATTATATAGAATTATTAACAAGAATTATAGATATACATTGGCGCTCCTAGTTTGAGCATAAGGCGGAAGAAAATAGATATTTCTTAATTTGATAATTGATGACAAAAAACTATTAATTAAAAATGTGGAGTACTTTAATCAAATGTATAATATTGCCTATTTTTTTAGTTCTTAATCCCAAATTTGACTAATATTAATAGAATAGTCCCATGTACACAAACTTTTACTATCCTTAACATTTAAAAATATTATTGGAGAAACTTCCTTATAGTAGGTTTTAACAGTTGACTACTTTGTATAATGTTACTCTTTTAAGCAATATTAATAACACAACATAACATAAATCAGCAAATAGATTGGGGGACTTGGATTCATTTCCGAACGACTCTTATAGGCTTATATGACATGATAGTTCGCACCGTTCTAAGCTCTCACCAGGGACCTAAGGGCTCGAAAAAAATCTCTTAAGCTCGGGAAGAATCTTTCCAAGCCATTCGATACCATACAATGTTTCAATCACGATGATTCCTTATTTAACTTAATATTGGAAGCTATAATTCTGGCAGCAGAATCGAACTATATTCAACAATGTTTTCACAAAAGGCGTCTGACAACAATATTGATATTGTCGGTCTGTACATACAACTTTTCTTTCTAACTGTTTTTAACTTAAAAGAACAAGGGAAACTAATTGGCTCTGTGGACATGAAGGGCAAATAAAGTATTGTTTGTCAATAAACAAATCTTCTGAACGTCTTGAGATAATTGTCAACTTATATTTGAAATTGTGAAATACTTTATATATTTAACGTAACAATAACAGCCTAAGGAATTAACAAAAAATCACTCTTGCCATCAAATGCAGGTAAACCATTAAGGCGTAAAGCACTCTCTCGATAATCGGACATCATGCTCCACTAATTTTCTATTATATCGTAAGATGCAAAAGCTTTGACAATAACCAAAAGCAATGACAAGTTATTAGGAGCATTCTAAAGGAACATACATGGAAAGATAATTACTTTATCCATTAAAAAGCGAATAGATGAAATATATGAGATATGAATAGATGATTCAGCTTGAAAGGTCTTTAATTCAGTACTCCTTTGGTTATCAAATCACAAATTTTACTTACTTATTATTATTATTTAATCCTTTTATTCCTAGGTGGAACAGAGGGCCGTAACAAATAGTTTCCATTGAACTCTATCTAATGCAAGACGTTTTGTTTCACTCCAGCTCTTTCCAGCATTTCTTAATTCGGCTTCAGTTTGTCGTTTCCAAGTATTGCGCGGACGCCCTGGTCTTCTACTGCCTTGAGGGTTGAAATCTAAGACATTTCTTGCGATATCATCAGCGGGTTTTCTTAACGTATGACCAAGCCATTTGTATTTGCGCATCATTATTTCATCAGTTATAAGAGGCTGATTCGTTCTAAACCAGAGCTCATTATTGGTTATGGTTGCTGGCCAAAATACATGAAGGATGCGTCGTAGACAGCGATTGACAAAGGCTTGTAGCTGTTGTGCGTCTCTTGCCGTTAGGTTCCAACTCTCACTACCATATAGTAAAGTTGATTTTACGTTTGCATTGTACAGGTGTATCTTAGTGCGTTGTGTGATGTTGGATGAACGCCAGATTTTGTTAAGGGTTCCAAACGCTTGCTTCGCTTTCGATAGCCTGTGCTGTATGTCTTGCCGACTGCCGCCGTTGTTCGAAATGTAGCTTCCCAGATAGCAGAAACTTTGTACATCTTCGATGTAGGAGTCATCTATTTGAAACTTCGTTGCGCAGTTTGAATTGAGACGCATAGACTTGGTTTTGTTGATATTGATTGACAGACCAGCTGCCAGTGCACGCTTTGCGATGTTGTTTAACGATATTTGCATCTGGGAAAAGTTATGTGTTAGTAAACAGATGTCATCAGCGTAATCAAGGTCAGTAAGTTTGTTATGAAGGCCGAATGAGATGCCATGATTTGTGCTCATAGCTTCCGACATAACCACATCTAAGACTATATTAAATAGTATAGGTGAAAGAATGCAACCTTGTCGGACGCCAGACTTAATTTGAATTTGCCCGCTGAGACGCCCTTCGTGAAGTACTGAGCAGTGCGCGTCAGAGTACAAGCCTTTTACTAAATTTATTAATTTACTCGGTATACCTTTACACTCTAATGCATACCAGATGGTGGTATGGAGAAGTGTATCGAATGGACGTTTAAAGTCGATAAACAGCAAGTATAGAGGAGATCGCCATTCGCTGGACTGTTCGACTATTATTCGAAAGCTGTTTATGTGGTCGGCACATGATCGATTATGCCTAAATCCTGCTTGTTCGGCTCGTAGTGTAGGCTCAACGGCCGAAGTTAAACGTTTATGTAAGATTTGAGCAATAACTTTATAAGCTACATTTAGTAAAGTTATGCCTCTCCAGTTGCAGCATTCCATCAGGTTACCTTTCTTTGGTATATTAATAATGATGCCGTCTTTAAGATTAGGCGGTAATGACTCTTGGGACCAGAAATTGTTGACAATTGGTTGAATAATTTGAGCAGCTGAACTTTTGTCTGCTTTGAGCAGTTCGGGGGCAATATTTTCCGGACCAGCGGACTTACCTGCTTTAAGCTGAGTTATTGCTGCCTCAATTTCACTGATGTTAGGTACATTTATATCGTTGCGAGCAACATGTTCGTGGTGTCTACTACATAGTTCCTGCTGAGGATAGGTGTTGTTTCCCGCTAGGAGATTTCTGTAGTGATCTTCCCAAACTTTTAGCTGATCTTCGGTAGAGTGTACTAGTTCGCCCCTGGTATTTTTTATTGGCTTTGCAATCGTGTGTTTACGTCCCACCATAGCTTTAGTGATGTTGTGTAGGTCTTTGAGCCTATGAGATTCGCTTGCTTTTTGGGCTTCTGTTGCTAAATTGTCGAGCCATCTGCGCTTATCGGCTCTAGCGCTGCGTTTAACTTTGCGGTTGGCAATACTGTAGTTGGCTTGTGCCTGCTGCTTTGTTTGGCGCGTTCTTGCCCTGTTAACCTTTTCTTTTTCTCCTTTACTTAAGTAAGTTAAAAAATCTAAGGTATCAATTCTATTTACCGTATTTTTGCATCTTAATGGAAAGGTTTTAATTGAAAGTAATTTCTTTCGTTATCAATTCCATGATAAGTTTGATAGAAGAAATATTTTAAAGTTACCAATTTGTTTATATAAACATTTGTGCCAAAATTGTGCCAAGGGGGAATAATATACTAGAAAATATGTTCTTGACAATGTTTCTGCAGTGTGTAATCTATAAATTTCACTGTCAAGAGAGGATCACCGAATAATCCCAACCTCTCTCTGCATACGCAACTGCAAATAATGGATAGCTGTTATTACGATTGGTACTTGAACTTTTACGCATAATTTTAGCTCATTAAATATTAAAATAAGCCACTATATAAGTGAGTCATAGTGCCAGTTAATAAACTTTTTATCAAAATTTGTTGTTCATTTACACACATTAAACATTTAAGCAAATTAAAGTCTAACTTATACTCTAATGACTTCATAGTTTTATCCAAAAAAAAAAGTGGTCAAGTATAATTTTGCAAATTCTTTTTGCTGGCAATGGTAACATGAGTTTTTTGTATTTTACAAGTTTTTCTAAGAAACCTTGGTTTTTCTTAGTATATTATACTTATATTTTTTATTTAGACGAATGAATACTTTTACTTTTACTGAGTTTTAGTGCCTAAAGAAATTTTACAAATTGGTAATAACAGCATAAAGTTGTTCTTAAGACTTAAAGACCTAAGTCTTCAAGCAAAATTTTTCGAGAAGTAAAATTACTGCAATTCACTTAAAAATTGTAAAAGAAGTATTATTTTACACTCATATATAATTAAATAAATAAATTTAAAAGTTTATGGTGGATTTAGTATTAGTTAATTCTATTCTCTAACTATGAAATTGTTACTGTCAGTTAGTATATTTGCTTTGTGTGTTTAAATGTCTACTATCTAATGATTGCAATTTACTTAATAGTAAATAATAAATTAAATAAATTAAAAGCTATTTTAAATAATAAAATATTTATTAATTATTTTGCACTTTGTGGTGTGTAATTAAATCAAATTAAAAATTAATAACATTAACATTGAGTGGATATGCGTAGTTTGCGGTGAAGTTAATTTATTAATTAATAATGTATCTTTTTACTATGCAAATAAAATGTGGTTAATAAATTCGAAATGATTCATGCTAGGCGTGTACGCGAATATTAAAGTCTATTAACCCATAAAATACGTTTTAATATCATAATTGCTTGATTTTTAAAACAAAAAAATTAATTAAATCATTATTTTCCTATAATAGGGCAATTTAATTTAGACTACCATTATATCTAAAATAACTTCAATCTTATATATTCCTTAATAATTGACAATTTTTTAAGTAACCTTTTGTTTTAATTCGAGGTATACTGTATTATATACTTTCGGTACACGCTTTTTAACATTCATTCACAATTTAAACACTATTCTCTATTATTTTTTATAAGTTTTTAATATTACTTTACCATTCAAAAAAAATAAAAAAAAAGAAACCTTGAATAAAATCGAATTAATTTTGAACAATCGAATTTAATAGCTATTAAAAAGTTATAAACGAACTATCAAATTTAGATCAATAAAATCAAACCAATAGATAATGTTTTAATGGTCATTTTTTTCTATTGTACTTCACTTCAACCAACTATAAAACAATTGCAAAAGCCTAATTGTTGTTTGAATTTTATTATAATTTTCATTTCTGTTTTTATAGATTACGTCAGGAAAGTGATTTATTATCCCGTCAATCACATCATTGGTCGCAAAACGATCTTTCATCAGTATCTGGCAGCTCTGTAGCACCATCACCGACACCTCTGCTGTTAAATCCGAAACATGAACGCAGTGCGAATGAGGATGTTGACACACATCACTTATCACATCAACAGCAAAACAACAGCTCTGAAAGTACGTCTTCTACAGAGACTCTTAAATGGTTGGGTTCGATGAGTGATGTTTCTGAAGCTAGCCATGCTACAGGTTATTCCGCAATTTCGGAATCAGGTAGGCGCTTTGAAACACAATTTCAAAAATATTGCGTAAAAAACTTTTTATATTAAACTGAAAATGCATTTTTTTAAAATTTTATTCTAATTTTTTTTTACAATATGCCTACTTCAGTTTCATCATCACAACTAATTGTACATAGTTCCCGCGTTTTAACACCAAAAAGACATCACAGTGAAAGTGTACTATATTTGAATAATGACCATCAACAACAACTTTCACCAAATTCTCAATCACCTAAACAGCAACAACAACACAATTCCAAAGTTAGCCCTACTCTATCGGCACGGGAGCACCATTCACCCGTACAACTGATTTCAAATCACCGACACAGTCCAAGTTATCCGCCTGTACATACAACACAAACCATACAGCCTTATCAAAAACAATTAGTCCCAATTAAAAGGGATTTAAATACCATTGACTTGCCAAAAAGTTCCTTAGTTGCAGCTACTGAAAATGTAGGTACTGCAACGCCTAAGTTAGTAACAATTACACCCGCAACTATAGCACCTATAGCAATTCAAACACAGCCTTTGGAATCGCAGCAGCACAAATCAAATATATCTGTAACAATATCAAATAGTGAAGCTGTGGTAACAATATCTCCGCAACCGCCAGCCAGTAGCCTTGTTAAATGTGACACAACATCAAGCAGCGAAAAGAGCATAACATCGAGTGCTGGTACTAAAACTGTTTCAAATCAACCGTCGACAGCGTCTCCACAATCCCCACTGTCCGATACACATGTTTCTACAGCCAGTGTAAGCAGCACGTCATCTACAACTACTCCGATAACAGCTGCAGTAGTAACATCCGGTACTGCACTAACTACTCCATCTTATCGTAGTAATCATCGTCTTTTTCCAGTAAGCACCTATACGGAACCAATACATAGTAATACCTCACATTATGTGCACCATCCAAAACCACAATACAGTGCTAATTTGCAAAAGCCATTGGCCAACAATCCAACACTAAATACAACAGTTGCAAACACTGATGCTGCAAACCAAGCAAAGTAAGTGTATTGTCGTAATTTTACAATAATGTAATTAAATGTAATGTAAAATGTAATTACTTTTACATCTTTCAGACAAGCGCAGAATTCACCACCCGCAAATTGGCAGTCAGTAGCTGAACGTATTAATGACTTTGAACGTGGAGGTGAGATCAATGAGCCACAAAAATATACATTTATCGATCCCAGCAAAACACATCGAATTTCAAATCCCGCCTTAAAAGCATTTCAAAAAAATGCGGTGCAATCGTATTTTGAGCGCCAACAGCAGCAGCAACAAAATCATTTGCAACCACAAACACAGTCTCAAGATAATAGCCAACAAAAAATTTATCAACCACATCCCTCACATCATCACCTACAACAGCAACAATTATTACGTCCACATTCTTATCAGTCAGTAACGTCTATCAAAGATGCAGCTGGTCACCAAGCACTACGAAACTCGTTGCCTAACACTTATGGTGGCAATGTTACAAATACAAATCCAACGCGTAACAGCTTGACGACAACCACAAAAATACCCACAATGTCACAAAAATCTGTTTCAAGTGATAGTTTAGCATATACTGCTAATGTACTGAATACTTCACCAAGCGCGAAACCGCCTTCACCAGCACCACCACCACCACCGCCACGGTCGCGTTCACTAATGGCAACAACCTTACTACGTCGTTCCTCTTCAGCATCAGATTATGCAGAATTTCGTGATCAATTTACAACCGCTTCACAAGAGAAATTGCAATCGCAATCTATAAAAAACATAACAAATGCTGAGAAAATGTCATTTAATGACTGCGGTATGCCACCACCACCTCCACCGCGTGCACGTGCACCAATAACTTCGAGACGTACTTCATCCGCATCTGAATATGCAGCTATGCGCGATAAAGTGTTACTACAACATGCTGCAGCAATCGCACACCAACAGCATCATCCACACCAACACCAGCACAGTAAAGCGCAACGCACACCAAACTTATATACATCACCACCACATAGTGTATTGATAGCACCGCATGATGATTGGGTGCCAGAGCGTCCACCAAAAAATCCGAATTTACGTGTACCATCTCCAGATCTACCACCACCACCTGCTGATATAGACACAAGTCTCTCAGATGAGCCCTTACCACCGCCACCACCAGAAATACTACATCGGCAGACAAGCTATTATGAGATCGAAAATATTGCACCATTAAGTGGTAACGATACGTTAGCTTCAGCTTTATCACCTAATAGACGTAATAGCTTCGCCGGTTCTTCAACACGCAAACTCTATCACAATCGCAATACGGGTAGTACGCATGATATGCATACGAAAGCACCACCGCTTATACCCAAAAAACCAACGAATATTGAAATTTTACAAGTCTCCAGACCTACAGTAAATTTAGTGCAACAGTCCAATAAGGCGCTTAAAGTATTATTGAATGGTGGTTCACATATGCATCAAGCACAATTGCAGACGGTGAAAATGCCACAAGCTGCTAAGATTACAAGTCGTAAACGTCCACATAATCCAGCGTTAATAACAGTGCCACCAATTTTGGAGAATCAAACAATGACAAGTCCAGTTAATCTCTCACCAACTAGTATGAATTTATCAAGTAATAACCTCAATAAGTCTTCACCACCACCATTAATGCCGCGTATGCTGATACCGAATCAGGCTCCTACTATGTTGATCAACAGTAAACAAAGGTGAGTCATGCCCTATTTTTTATATACGAGTATCAGTGCTCTTTTGAACTCATTCACTTCAAAAGATTCAAGTTTCGTGTTTTTTGGGTTTGTAGTGAAAAAATTTTATAAAAAAAAGTACATTTCAGTTGATTTGAGGGCATTTCTGCACTGAAATGTTTGCTTAGTGATTCAGAATGTTGTCTCAATTATAGAACAAAGGCAAAAGAATGCTTTACTGTTAATAACAGATATTTTTTGAAGTTTTTGGAAGAATACAACTGTTGGTGAAGAATACATGACCACAGGTAGAAATGGCAGGAGCATAAAATCAGAACTTATGATTGTTTACAAAAAAAGAAAATATTTTAAAACAGAGGCGTAGATTAATAATATTAAACTAAACATCGGACAGTCAAACTACTTTAAAGTCTTTGATCTCAGTTCAATTCACATTTAGGACAGTCTTTGACTGCTACACATCTATAAATGAGATGTTGAGACAGTGCTATATTTCTCCAATAGTGTTCCCGGCCATCTCTTATTGAAAAGCCTCGTAGAGATATCAGTCTTGTAGTAGGTCTAATTTTAGGTCATTGTATTTTTGGTTATTATGCTAGGAGATGCTAGGAGAGGTATCCTCTCCTTACCGCAGTTGGGAAAGGACGATTAAAGTGCCTCTCATCTGCTTCGTTTGTGTCCAGCACATCCGTGGCTAAAGCACTTTAGGGGCTTTCATCTTTGAGGATCTTGGCGAACTGCAAGACCTCCCTCTGAATAGCATTATAAGCTTTGCCAAAGGCTCAAAGTGGTTCTAACCCTTGAGTTTTTAATTATACAGTAACACAATGGGCCTATAGGTCTAAGTGGACTCCTTGGGATCGCCGGTATAACCTAACCTCTTCTAAATGTTAACCTAAATGCTTGATACATATATATTAAATTTCATTGAAAATAATATTAAATGCAACAACTTTTAAGCGGAACATGAAACCATAGTAACCCCTTTTGAAATCCATTTTTGCTTTTAAAATATACAGATATGCATAAAATGAATATTATTTTCATTTTATTTATGTTGAAATGTTGTCTTTAAACTATAATTTATTATAAATCTTTGGAATTTTGCTGCTTAATGTGTCATTGGCAAATGGTGTATGTCAGTATGTTTTTAGTTTGAAGTAGCTGAGATAATGAGTCAGCAAGGAAACAATCTGGTATATTCGTATTTTTATTTAAATATCTTAATAAACAATTCATGACATGTAACGCATTTTAAATATTAAAGCTAAAATGAAAATATGACCAATCATGTAGACTGAGTATTGCTTTACAGTAATGTTAATGGCAGCTCTTAAAATGTATGTTAAAAATACGAGCTAGAGTAGATTAGTGTATTAATTAGCACCAAAAAATTGTAAATTTTAACTTTCATTATATACTAGTAATATTGTTATACAAATATATAAATGTGTCAATAAATTTGAATTTAGTGTTTTTATACTAAAGAGATATTTTTTACTTTACACTGAGAGTTACTAACTTGTCATTGATCTATGCGTTACCATTGCTTAATCTCATAGACAACTATATAGCTCATGTCGTGGGTTAAAAGATTACTGCTCAGACATACCTGCAAAATTAAATGCATATTTAAATTCAATCTATGGAATCTTGTAAAGTTAGCAGCATATGTGGTCAAATGCTGAGAAGAATTGACTTAATTTTTATAGCCTTTTTTACGGATTTTTAAGAATTGAGACCTTAATGAATTTTTAGAACTGATGATTATTCTGAATTTATAAAAGATGTAAGGATCTTTAAAAGGTATAATAACTGGGTTTGCTGGATTTAGTGTTGGCAACGTTTTCTCTTCTTTTCAAGTAGAGTATAGGCTCAATTTTGTAATTGAAATACTTTGAAATTCTAATTTTTAAGCCAACCTTTGCAGTTGAGAGAGAATATTATTTTTGGTATAAATACTTTTATACAACATTATACTTAGGTTATAGAAGCAGAGAAGTAGATAGAAATAAAAGTAGATTTGTATGTTCACTCTAATATGTTTCGTTAACCTATAGACTGTTGCATAAAATAAGACTACCCATTTTAAGTAAATATTTAAATACTCGAAACAGCTGTTTGGTCAGCCAAAAATTTAATTAATTAAAATAATATAAAATAAATTTTTGTAGTTGTAGTTCACTACTGTTCGAAAAAACCTCTTAGTAAATATTTAATTATATATATTTATAGAATCATTACCGTCGTGTTTTCGTACTTAACTCTACTATTTTTAATAAGTTTATTACATATGTGCCATCATAATCGCACTTCCATGAAATACCTAAACTCTATCAATAACTTTGTATACTTTACTTTGTATACTTATATGATTACTTGTTGTAGTAAACTTCAAGGTTAGGTAAACAATTATTTTTACTAAAACTTACTGTCTGAAAGATATTTTTAATTTTGGTAAATATCTTCTTCTTCTTCTTCTTCAGACTAGTCACTTGAATTGATGTAGTCTCAGCTACACTCTCAGTTCAATCAACTGTCAAATGATTTTTAATATATATAATTGGATTTAAAAATGAAAAGTGTCAATAAAATTTTATTTGAATTTAAACATGCACGGTTTGAGCACAATTGACAGCAGCAACATGTATCTCTGCTTGAAAACAAACTTAAAAAATTTTTATTTGTGGAAAAAACTTTCGCTTTTGAAAATGTCGCGCGCGACAAATTGACGCCAGTCCAGTTAAATGTTAACACACAACATACAAACAACGGTGACCCACACCCACTAATCAAAGTTGAATTTCGGTTTCATGTTGTTGTCACCTTTTGGTCACCTGCGGTGCACCTGAACATTGTTGCGTAACAGCAGAGTGAGGAAAATGCTACTATAATGATACCAAATCTACAGTAAATTCATAAATGTATCTACACATATCGTTTTTTGTCTTAGATACAATACATTTTTGACTTTGACGTATGACTTTATTGGATTCGTTAGACTTTTTAATGTGCCATAATTTGTTTTACTTCTTATTTAGGTTAGTGTACCTACTTACGCAATAATTAAAGAAAAGCGAATCAATTGATATAGGTTTGTAATTTATAATTACATACATACATATAACACTAGGGTGGCTCAGAAAAACTAAAATGCGATTTTTAATGAGCGCACCCCCTAGGAATATGCCATTGACCAAAAAAATGATATTCCCAAAGTTTTGGAACAATAGGATTAAAAATGACGTTGCGCCACTCGAGCAAAGTTGGGTTTTTAGTATAAAAAACAGAAATTTTTCAATTCAAGGTCATTTTTTATCTTTGTTACTTAATTTAACAATTATTAATATATACTCATTTGATAGATAATTAAAATATCTTTTTAATAAGATATTGATGAGCAAAATTGGTTAAAAATTATACGCAAAACACAATAATTAGTTGAGCGACTGTGCTCTGTTTTCTATTTCATACCTTTTAGCTGGCATGCACAATGCAATCGCAAATGTTTACAAGAAACGGAAGAAACATAAATAAAAATAATACATTTCTACTTAATAATTTATATAGATATTTAAGTAGAATTGAAAATGTAGTCAAATCAAGAATTTTTTCGTAAACAAAGAGAAAATGGTCGTACAGGAAGTATGACTGAAGTTAATATCCTTTTAGCAAACGAAGGAAGAGCGGCTAAAAATTCCATTGATTTTAATTGGAATGAATTCGATAAAGAAATTTGTCTCAAAATGGAAGCTTAATCTTTAATCATAGTTCAACCAAATTGGGATAACGCAGACAGAACGATTGAATTTATCACTCCTAGCTTAGTTTCCGGCCTTGACAAATGCAAGGTTTCGGATCGCTACGCTATACATATTTTGTAGTAGTAGGTATGGTTACCTGTGGCGCCCAGGTGCCATCCAAGATTCTCGATGGATGGCGAAAATCATGTACTTACTAAAAATGTTTATTTTAAGAGATCAATTTACATATAACTCGGATGATTTGTACGAGATATATACATTTTTATGGGAGCATATGTGTGACAATTTTAACCCACACTTGGTTAGGTTATGTTCGGAAGGCACATGCTGACAGTTGTCAGCACTTCTACTCGGAGACATATATTGCCCATTGGGATGCCCTCAAAAAATTTTACCAGGAGATGGGAGTTGCTAACTTTTGTTATCCTTGTTAAACCATTTGGTTTTTCAGATGAAGTTGAGGGGATCCAATAAGTTTGCTTTCGTTATCTCTTCCAAGCCAGTAAAATAAGGATACCCAAGACATTAAAGTAGCCTTGTTTGAAGTCCTGGACAGAGACACAGGAAGTGGTTGATAGATTTTACGTCCTCTTTATCTTGGAAACTCCTGCATAAACCACTTTTTGGAACCGTTGGAGCATAGGCGGAATAGCACAGTGCCACTTTAGTACTCCAGACGAACTGCAGGTCTTCGCAGTTAATTTATAAATTGTTAGTCACCGTATTGATTTCCTCTATTATCCTAAACAGTTTACATATCGGTGTATATATTGAGAGGTCGGCCTCTCCTGTATGCAGTTCAGAATCTCTTCTGGCCACCTTAGTTCATTTTCTTCAATATTGCTATGTCCAAGTATTCGATATGTACTATGTCCAGTAAAGAGAGACCTTATGATATTTGATGATTTAGATTCAATTGCTTTCAGTGCGGCCTATCTACAAAAATCATGATATTCGAAGGACGAATTGTATTTTGTTGTCTAATGTTGACCTCTTTTTCAATAGCATATATCTCGCCGTGAAAGACGCTGTAAGTTGCAGGGATTCGGTAGCACTGTCTTATCTGCATATCTTTCGAGAAGATGTCTGCTCCCGTACCGCCTTCCATCTTTGAGCCATCTGCGTAGATAGTAACTGTAGAGTTACCGGTCACAGATCCAAGCTCCCAGCTATCTATCTCTGGTTAGATAAAGAGTGGGAACCCACTAATGAAGTTATTTTCCTCAAAGAACTTTATTGA